GCAGAGATGACCAAATACGATCGGTTTGAGACATCACTTTTTTTGTTAGATGAAATCATTAATGTTAAACTTTTATTTTCTGTCTGCTATTATTTTTCACGGCAGCGTATGATATGAATTAAGACCATAACGATGTTGAAATATTCGCAAAGCTGTAACTCCAGACCAGATCGAACCACGATTTCTTTTTCCAAGGGCTCGCGCATTATACACTGCGCCACGGAGGCCCACTTTTGCGAATATGTCAGGATCGTTGTGATTTGAATCATAAATATTTTGCTAACTTCAGTTCCTCAACAAAGAAAAGCCTTGGAAAATCAAAATTATGTTGTAGTAGAGCAAAAAACGTATTTTATTGGAAAAATCGGCAGAAGCTAACGGTTTCTAGTAAAATTATTAACGTTTATTAAGAGCTGAAATATGCTTTTTCAAGGTTGGAAAGTGCAAGTAAACTCGGGCATGAATGTATTGACTTCAATGCATAACCGTAACTAAGTGTTGAAATTTTTCTTAGGTGTCTTATATTGTCTTATTAACAGTTCAAATTAACTAACTCGAAAGTAGACGGTGTAGGTTGCTTCTTGGAGAGAAAAATATTCCTCATACAATACTGTAATTTTGAGATGATTTTTTTAATATGGGGAAAATTTTCCTAACTGGCTAAAAAAATTCGTTTGAAGCCTAAACCATATCTGTTTTTGATCAGATGGATTTTGTTCAGTTCATCAACAAAACGAAACGTCCAACGTCATCGATTCAGTCAATTTTTCATTGTCTGGATTACTGGCGATCTTTGGTCCACGTATTTTGAAAATATCTTGGGTAGTTTCTCATAAATTTTCTGCAATTTTACAACTTTTATACCCTTTCTTGACCCTGTTCTCTTCACATCTCTTCCAGTGCTTCGTATCGTCTTTGTTGTTAGGATGACTCCAGAGCAGCGCGTCGAGCGACGATGACGAACAAAATGATGCGCTCTCCAACATGCAACATAACATCGTCCGTTTGTCATTTCGTTCAAAAAAAACACAAATCGATCAATAGCTTGACATTATCTAACATATCATATCACTCAAAATTTATCACTGTTATTGATCTTTGAAGAAGAACGCCACATAGATGAATCAATATTTTGGTTTACTGAATAGTTTACACGATGTTGTTGCCAATGGTGGCAAACGTATCGCTCGCCCTCTTCTTCCTCAAAGCCGCAATAATTTGTGTTAAGATGTCTACAGAAGTTGTTTTCTTTTTGCGATTTATGAGTGTTCGCCGTAGTTTCGAATCGAATCGAGTGAAATAGAAGGCCTCAAAAACGAATTGGTCTCACCCAGCAGTTTCGCAGGATACAAGATGGCTCTTCGTTGATCGCCATCCATGATTTTCCGCTACCATAGTGATAATACATCCTGTAGGAATTATAATAAAATTAGTTGATACAGAGCGCGTAGGTTAGATTAGCTACCTTCGGTTGGCACCGTTAGATGTTCGCGTAATGAATCTGGAACGGAGCAGTTCCAATGGCAAAAGGTTGAGGTGTCCTGAGATGTCTGAAATGGTGGTCGCAGCCTCACCTTTACCGTTTCCATCACCAGGGCCAATCAAGAATCAATCTCAGATAAAGTGTACACGAAGAAAAATTCGTCTAAAGGCGAAGTCTAAAGCATAAATGTTAAAAGATTTTACTGGTTAATTCTTCAGGACTGCTCTCTGCATTCGGCTGCATTCCTAATACAGTTGAGATGAATGAATACATATTTGGATTATACAGTAACTTGTTAAAGACTACCGATTTGTCGAGTCTGTGTTTGTTCTTTCTTTTAGATGAACCTAGAACTAACTTTTCGATCCTGGAGTGATATGAAGCTTAGTCTGGGACGCGAGATCGATCTAGAGGCCACGTGGGTATTGCAGCATATCATTCACCACTGCACTACACGCTCTCTTTTCCTTATGTGTCCACGCTTACCATTCGAATTTTTGTACGAAAAGGAAGTGATGGAAGTGGAGGTGGAGCGTAAAAACGGGAATATGGATAAGATTTCAATAATGTGGTTTCAGCATCGTTGAGTCGGGATTGTCTGCTTAAATTCACGTTAGAATCTCATGGAAATCTTTAAAAATGTAGCGAACAATTATCGGATCTTTCCTAGGCCATAGAAAAACCAGGTAACGGCCAAGCGAAGTATTTTTGTCAAGTCGTTAACACTTGAAGGCTTTGTGGCCGAGTTTCGCCGGCATAAATGAATGAGATTGTTGAGGATAACGACAACTAAGCGGGCAACTCAGTGAAAGTGCTTATAAGGATTCTTCTAGAAATGTATTGATTTTCTTATAATTGTCGATTACTGTTTCCTTTATCAAATTCTCGCTATTTATTCTTCGTATTTTTGTTGAGCAAACGCGAGATGTTATTATTCTTTATTCACGAATGAGCTGACGTTTCGGCGGATTTCGCCTTCCTCAGAGCCGCTTTCTATGAGGTCTCCACTAAGTATGTCACGTAGAGACCAACCGCACAGAAATCACATGGAAGTATAATGTAATCTCGCTATTTAGTTTGGACTATTTGAGTTTTTTTTTATTTTAACTTTGTTCAACAAACAGAAGGAAGCGTTTTTGATTAGAAACCATTAGAAGAGTTTTTCCTGCGGGTTTTCTGTTTCTATGGCACTGGTGAAAAATTGAGGCAACAATGACGAATTAGCGTTAACGATTTTGGCATTGTCTGCCATAAGAAAGGAAGAAAAAACCAGAGAGGAGAAATCGACTTAACCAAACGCCATATGCAAAACGTCACAAGCCATTGAAAGGACTGATGGACAATAGGGTGCGAAAGGTTGCCATATGGGACCATAACCATAGAGACCTATACACATACACACCCATCCTGGTACCACACGTGCATAATAATCTAATCGCTTAATGCGCTCAACTACAATAGCGGCGGTGAAGTATCCACTTAGGATCCACAACTCATTCGGACAACTGTCACACACAATACGGAACGGGTTAATCCCTGTTGTTATACGTGGAATAAGGGTTCTCTTGACATCGACATTATCAGGTAATGTAAGGTCAACATCCCATACGTGCTTAATAAGGTATTCTTTGGTTTTTCTGCGCTTACTTATTTGTTTTTTGTTTACGGCACATAAATTGAATCGACAATCGATTACCGTTATTCTGATTAGGATGACGAATTACATGAAACATTTTGGAGTGGGCTTTTCTTCCGCGATTTGTGAAAGCATGGTTGGTTTCGAAGCAAGTGTTCCGTAGGGAAAAAACTAGTAAATAATGGTGAACAAATTTTTGTTGAGGTCGCTTTCTATCTTTCTCTCTCGCTTTTTTCTTTTTACGGAAAGAAACTTATCGAAAAAGAAAATTATCGCATCGCAATGAATAGTAATAAAAGCAATAATAGTATAATATAGCCTCCCAACGGTTTACCGCCTCATCGTGGCTGGAAGGTGTTCCTGGGTATCAGGCTGCAATGTACGGCGAGGAGAGTCATCATCCCCGCAGGATCTCCTTAAGTGAGAAGGAGTCCTGCGTTTCCATCAGGAAGCCTATCTAAACTAATAAGAGTAAACCATCCACCACTATCCTGGTATGAAAGTCGAATGGTGGCAAATCTCTTGATCCACAAGGGCTGCGACTGCCTGTGGTGGCGAAGACCTCGGACAGTCTTTGACAAGGCTGACCTCGGGATTCCAGGGAACCACAGTGGATTAAGCAGCAAATCTCTCAAAAATGGGGATTATTCTGGGTCCACACAACCAGTGAGGACGGGTCATTCAAGTATCAAGTAAGTAATATAATATAGATAATATTTCAAATCACTTTTCATCAAACGCTGATTTATTGTTTAAAAGTCCAACTACAACTGTATTGATTACCTTGGAAACCTTGTCGATTTTGGATTTTTAGATTCCAGTAAGCCTAGTCAAACGTCCGAAAACTTTGGGTACCTGCTTAGCAATCCTGGTTTTCTTCATTCAATAACATTGATAGTGTGCAAAGAAAATCGTAAAAACGATCAGCACTGACATCAAAAATCTACAGCATTTACATATAGTTTTTATTTCCCTAACCAAAGTTTTTGTTCCGGATTTTATTCTGGGTCTTCAATTATCTGTGAACGAACAAAAGCTTTCTGAATATCAGAAAGTTTTTATTCTGTCAAAACATCTCGGACGAACCAATTATGCGGAACATCAATAGGACGACATCAGCAAAGGAATGGATGCTTCAAACTCGTTAAAGTTTGTTGTTCAGTTCTTTAGAGAGTTCAAGTTCATTCTGTAACGGGTATTTAGTAACGATGCTTTTCAATCGTATTTTTGGACGCACTCTATTTTTTATTACTTTGAAGTTTCTTGGTCTTTCTTGTTTAATTAAAGGTTATCTTCTTTTTGTGATACCATGATATATGGCTTGCAATTAAATTTTTCTATCTGTATTTTTCTTAAAAGCCAGGTATTATGGCCACAATAATACCGCACTCAAAGTGACTCTAGTTCTCAATGATTATCAATGAAAAAAGTTTTAAACCTTTTTTTGGCCCTTAACATCGAATGGACGTTTTCTGCACCTCTAGATATGTACACAAATGAGAGCGGATATACTTCTGTATTTTCATGTGTATATGCATCTATTCTTCTCAGTAAACCTACAGGCTCTTAAGTGCTACGGTGGCGAAGTGCTGGCTACGAGCCGAAGTTACAAGATGCATTTTGAACTTTTGGTTAAGAGCCAAACCTAACTGTCAACTAGACAAAGCAAAGTAAAGCCCGCGATGACTCTCCGCATCGACGGCGACGCGGCGTCAAGCGGTGGGCGTGGCCGACGGATGGCCGGACGACGCGAAGTGGGCGGTGCCGCCGCCGCCGCCGCCGCCGTCGTCGTCCAGCGACGTTCATGAGAAGCGAAGCGCTCCGTCGTCTACGCGCGTCCGTCCGTCGCGTATCATCCGTCTCACCACGTCTAACGTACTGATGGGCGGTGGTGGTGGTGGTGGTGGTAGAACTGCCGGCAGTACTGCAATTAGCGGTACTGGTAAGACTAATACACCGCCCGCTCTTCGTGTTGTCGTCGTCGGCGGTGGTGGTGTTGGTAAATCCGCACTTACCATACAATTTATTCAGGTTCGGCTCTATCGTTGTTTTTCATTTTTAAGCGCTGTCCGATTCAGTTTTAAAGTCTAATTCTTCAAAAAAAGAGATCGTTTTCATCCTATGCAATGTTAACACAATATTTATCCATACCTTTCTCTGTCTCTCTTTCCTTTATTTTTTTCCTCCTCTCTTTCTCCCTCTCTTTCACTCCCTCCTCTTAACAGCTCCCTTAATTCTGAGTTCCGTCATCGCTTCTTATCATTATGATGTCCTGTAAAAGGTCGATATAATAGATTCTTCAACGCTTCCCGTGGGAATTGTCGGCCAAGATAAATACACTAAATCCTGATATGCGATTTTGCACAAAGGTTTGATGTCGCCGCAGAATTTAATTTTCGGTCTCTTTGATTTTAATCCAATTTCGACAAGACGTCTCTGAACGATTTCATAGTTAACATACGACGCTTGAAATGCATTGTATACAATGCATTCGATGCAAAAACGATGACCACTTTCGACTTTCAACATATCTGAGCCCATATTAGATTTTACTGGTTGAAATAAACAGCATAAGAGTCCACAGATCGTTGCCTACAAAACACAACACTTATTCTAAAATGCGGAAATCTTGATCTCATGGATCTTATTATGTGTATATATTTATATTTATATTTGTTTATTCTTTTTTCCTTATTGCTTCAATACTCATAGTTCGAAGACAAAAGCACGATGGATGTTCTCCAAAGTATTGTTCGTGTGTGTAGCTGCTGCTCTTCTCTTAGAAACCTTAAAAACTTAAATTTTGTCGCCAAATTCTTGGCACTCTGAGTTCTAAACATATTTAAGATTGATAAGACGCCGTATAAAGTTTTTACGTAGGCTGTAATACAAAGTCTCTTTTAAATCTACAAACTTATCAGCTACTCAAATTTTCTAGTCATCGAGGTGTTGTCGTTGGTTGTCGCAAAACCAGCTTAAAGCGTTATTTGTTAAATAATCTCTCAAATATCTTAAACCACAACACATCTCACGGCATACTGTATTTTTTCTCAATCTGACTACAGTAGTGTGTTAATCTAGGAATAATCGCGGTTCGCTTTATGGCGTCAATTGCTTTAAATTTATTTTATTTGGAAAAATTGCAACGTTTTAATGGTTTCGGTACGAGACAAATGAGTAAACTCTTCTTTTTATACGTGTGATATAGACAATATACTCTAATAGGAACAGAAAGCCGTATTCGTTGCATGGAACAGTTGTCCGGATCTCCAACATTCAGAGCGCGTTACTCATGTCGTTGAAGTTGGGACTGTTCACAATAGCTTTCAATGCTCGATCGGTTTTTCGCTTTTTCTCTTTCTTTTGTTTCCTATGCCTGGTCGTCGCAATGCGGTTGTTTCCACGATATAGGAGTCCAGTGGTGGTTATTCAACGACGAACTGCTCCCTGCTGTCCGTTTTGAGGACTTGTTTCTCAGTGATGAGGACGTTCTGTCTGAAAACAAAATGTTCTGACACTTTTATATTTTGAATAGGATAAAGCACTCTATTAATTTTTTTCCTCACGGGCTGGCTTTCGTAAAATTATCGACGGCATCCATCAGGGAAGAGTTTTGAGGAACTAAAAAATATTTGACAACCTCATAGGATTTGGAATGCGTCTCATAAGTGCTAACGATTGACGACGACAGCAGTGCTTGAGTAAGTAGGTTTTTAGCTGGAAGTATAGTTTCGTATTTCTTCTTTCTACAGTGTAGAATTTATTTTAGAAATTTCCCTTGGACTAAGTAATGTTGAAAAACACTTAGGTGGAATAAGCGCGGTTAAAGGGTATATTTGCGTTGGATAAAAAGAAAGGAAATGAAGCAAGAAACATTGAAGAAGCTATTTGGGCTATAAAACATGAACCAAATGAATCCGAAAGCTGAGTTCGCGTCGACGGGTGTTTCTTTGGAAGGTGAGAAGGAAAGACAATTACGGAAAGCCTTTGCATTAATGCTAATTTATGGTGTTACGTTTACAATTCATCGTAGTCATTGTCGTCGTCATCCGTGCGAATGACCATAATTTCTCACTACCCTATCATTTTTCGCTGAGGAACAATCACCTTGTCTTGCCTAGTGGGCCGTTTTTTTCCTTTCTTCTTCTTCTACTGGAAGAAATGTCCGTTCGAGCTGTTGATTTGAGTGGAGTGCTAGAAAAAGAGAAAAAACAGCAACTAACAATTAAGCAAAGAACATTTATGGATGAATGAAGCGTAACAATCGTTTAGAACACGTTTCTTTTTTCTTTCTCATCATTTCCTGCTGTTTCTTCCTTTCCTTCACCAACCATCGTTTTGTTTCTGTTAAGGACTTGTCAGAAAAGCAGATGAAGTAGTCGAAATGATAAAAATCCCACGTCAAAGAACAATTTAGCCTGCACAGTTGAAATTGAAGTGAAGAGATGAGTGTTTAAAAAAACAGCGACACTCCAACTGACGCTTACGGCTTAAGATTTGTGCGAGACATATTAAATGCTTTTTGAAGAAACAATGTCCCGAAAAATGTTTATAAACCTCCGAATCACCTCCATATAGATTTCTGATATCTTTGATAAGTGAAAATTATGCTGTTCTTTCTAATAGGAAGTGAATGACTACATTTCTCGGTAGTAGAAGTAAGCGCTAGAAATTTTCCTACAATGAATTTTCCAACGCCACTGAAAGAATTAAGATTTTATACATTCGACGAAGAAAAAAGCATTCGAATACCTCGAAAAATATTCGAAGTATTCGAAAATTGAACTTAGTCGAGTATTATAACATTCTGTAGAAGAGCTAGGCGTCAGAGAGTTTTTTAAACGCTCTGTGGCGGTCGTGTTATAAAACAGAGCACTTGGTCTATTCGAATATCGAGTACTCGAATATTCGATTAACTATTCGATATTCGTTGTATCGACTTTGACGCTGAAAAGTCGTTTTGAAATAACCTCACATCATCACTTCCACCGTCACTTCGTACTGCTTCTAATTATTGAATTTCTGAATTGTTAGGTAAACAAGACGACCAAGTATCAAATTTCCATGCCTTCTCAAGAATTTGGCGGTGTTTTCTTTCTGTGAAAGAAACTTTCGTCATGAATACGGTGGTCACTGAAAACGAAAAGCTTGATAACCTCAGATGAACTACTCTCCACTCAACTGTGTGAAGAAACTTCTCCAAATCGATCGATAAAACTTTGTAGAGAGTAAATGCCTGAACGCTTTTATCGTTATGAGTCAATCAGTTAGGGGAAAAAAGAAACGACGTCGTCAATTCAAAGTCGATGATAAGTGAGTGGTGTGCATCGAGACCGGTAACAATCGTAAATTTTTTCAGGATGTTAACGACGGACACGCCTTTTTTCGTGTGTTTCATAGCGATGGCGCGTGTAATTGTTGTATAACACGCCCACTTTTGTCACGAAACGGCCTGTAAATTATAAGGGTTGGGAAATCGATACTTCTCTTCCCATAATAGAAGAGACTTTTTGATCTTCTTTAATATCTTTGATATTGGTCGATACATCAATAGAAATTGAGTTGTGGTATCTCATCGTTTTTCAAGCTTCATGGTGATAGCGCGTTATCGCAGGATGCTACGCCCCTTTTCTTCGTGAGGCTTGCTTTAAGATCAAATAATTAAAAATCGTTATTGATATTTTTACACTGGAATAAAAACGCTATTATCTCTATTTTATATCTTTAGCCTTCGTACATCATTACAAATAGAAGTTGTATTATTTTCAGCAATACTTCGTGCATGACTATGATCCGACTATTGAAGACTCCTATACGAAACAATGTTTTGTTGATGAGGACTTATGTAAAATGGAAGGTGGGTATTCATGCATTCTTTGGCAACTGTTTATTTGTTTTTTTTTCTCCACATTTTCTTTAAAAACTCCCATCATCTGTGTTCATCGACTTTTTATCGATTGGTTCATTACAACGTTCTATCATGTATCTTCTCAATCGCTGAAGCTTATTGTTTTGACATGATAGGAATTCTTTACGCAGACTAGTTGCGATCACACAATAACTTTAGATTTCGCTGAAATTTGTTGTAACATCGAAGAATTTTTTGGTAGATCAAATTTCCGATTGATGATATGAATTTTAGCCGAATTTCTAAACGCGTACAATTTGGAAGTTGCCGATTTTGAGATGTGAAATGTAATTATTTTGTCATAAAATATTTATTTGGCGCTATTTTTTCGCCGTGTTTTCGAACATGCGACTATGCGAATTTTCCGAATAGTGGACCGCTGAGGTTTGGAGTGCCTAAGAGGGACCAGGGTGGACTTTCTTTTGTTAGATATCGATGAATATTTAAAATAATCGGTGTTGCTAAATATTTAAAAAAGGTGTGGCATTCTATTAATTAAGTACTTTTAAGTTTTTCTAAATTTATTTTAATTTACTTATTATTTTTTAATTTTAATTTTAATTGTAATTTTAATTTAAGAAATCTTGTAAATGCACAAGATTATAGTGTTTTTTAATTATAGAATACCTGAGTGCTTCGATAGCGTTGCTAACTAGACGTTAATTCGAAATTCGAGTATGAATTTCTCTCGCTGTGGGGAATCGAATTTTTATCGGCTTTGAATATTCGGCTACTCGAATATTCGACTCATTGGTGAAAAATCGATTAGCTCAGTATTCGTTTATCAGTGGAGAATTTGAGAGGCTCCCAGTCGTTGTGCTCGTCGTCGTCTTGTTTGTGTTGTTCTCGTAAAGCCGCTCGAAAGTCGAAACGTACACATAACGGAACACTTTCCCACACTTTCGACAACTGAGAGATTCATTCCGGAATTTTTCACTAAGAAAGTCTTGGGAACAAAGAAAAATTTGCCAACGAACTGGTAACAGAATTCGTAATGTCGCTTGTCGTCATCATCATTGCTTTCGAAGTGGTGGTAAACAGCTTGTGGTGTTGAATATATCTCTCGTGAAGATGACAATAAATTATGGTAGTTTATGTGAGCGATGGAAGAAAACATGAACAACATGCCGCCCCGATCGTTGACGGCAACGGAAATCATTCTATGGAATTCGTAACGTCACATTTTCCATTGCCGTTTAGCCTTCTGAAATCAAGAATAGCCAGCCACGTCACTTCAGATGGACATTGCTATTTGAGGAATAGCTGTGTCACTCCAAACTTACACTGCGACTTACAGATGATCCGCGTAACGCGAGACGTGCATGATGCTTTAAAAACCGATTTACCTTTAACATTGGCGTGACTGATCAATATGTATTCTTCTACTGATAAGTTAGCACGAGGTTGATGAAAAACTTCATTCGACTAACGTTTCTGTGCCTTCGCCTCCTTCAGACCAGGATAGATCCGAGTCGATTCTCCACAGATGTTCTTCTTCCGATGTGGGTCTACGTGATCGCATCGAGTTGAGTCTTCTTCATTGGAGCGCAACTCGAATGAAGTAACCTTACTCGGCAATGATGTTTTATACAGGATGGTTTTTGACACTGATTATCCTCTGATAATCGTTTGTTTTTCTCTTTTCTTTTTTTTCTTTTCTTCTTTCCCTCTTCTTTCTTTTGTTTCTTTTTTCTTAACCTCATGTTAGCTTACCAATGAGAGAATACATGTGTACATGATGGTTTGTAAAATATTCGGATCGACTTGGGTGAAGAATATGACATGAACAATAGCCATGTCACTCCGAGCTAACATTATGACTCGAAGAACAGCCGCGTCACGCAAAGATATATATGATGGCATGTAGAATAGCCTCCTCTTAAGAAAAACAAAGCAATAATTCACAGAAACAAAATTGTCTTAAAGGCGAGTTTTTTCTTTACAGAAAATTTATTTGCCGTATTTTTACAGTTTTTTTCATGCGTTCAAAAAAAAGCTGTGGAACATTTTTTTAATGTAATTCGACGAAACCATTAACAAAAGCCGCTCCGTATTTTTTGCTGTTGTCCACTTTTCATTTTTTCTTCTCTCAAACGAATCTTTATCTTAACCTTTCTACGCTTTTTTTTTCCACGAATAACCTATTCAATGACGTCATCGCATCCACGACATTACTGAAATTGTTGCAAGATTTTCTGTTCATTTTTTATTTTTGGTCAAAATAAAGAATGATTGCGACCTTAAAGAACTGCCCTAAACGTCTTTTCTTGCGTAGAATGTCTTACAGTGGAATATATTGAATTTGCATAGTTCTGCTTTTATTCTTTCAGTTTTTCACACACTCATTAGTGACTAATGTTTGTAATGAAGGCTGATTGTGTTCTAGAAAGACCCTCGTTCAAAGTACAGCATCTTTTCTATTATAATACGAAACATCACCAACTTACGGTAGTTTTACAGTACTCGACACCGCCGGTCAAGAAGAGTTTTGCACAATGCGTGAGCAGTATCTACGATCCGGCAACGGTTTCCTGATCGTATTCGCTGTAACTGATCGTAATAGGTAAGTTCCTGGAATAATTTTTCTTCAATAGAATAACATTTCCATATCGAACCAACTGCTAGATCAATATGTATGCTTCGCATCTGCTCTTTATGCCTTTCTTCATGATGTTCTTCTACTGAGTCGATTTCGTCTATATTCTGACAACGAAAGATCGCCAGTGCTCAGTATAGCACTTCAATCCACATGTGTTTATGTTTCTAATTGGACATAACTTTTTTACAGGTTATTGATCGTTATTGATAGTTTTTGCGCACTCGTAGCGTTTTTTGTTCTGTCCATTTTACCGACACCTGCATCTGCACGCCGTCATCGGCAGGTGCAGCTGGAGCAACAACAGTCGCATCAGAGCGCCATGTTTGGTGCCGACTTTACGATTTGGCCACATTGCTTACATAAAACGAGGTCGCTATTACTGCGTTTTATATGTATAAATTCGCCACGAGGCTGGAAAATGGGGGAAATTCCAAGCAGTTGTTTCCGATTTTGATTACCGGAACTCCTTATACTCGTTGACAGCTCAAGCAGCGAATGCATCGGCTCCATTGTTCTATTGTTCTTAGTCTTTTCATTCTTCCTCATTCACTGTTGGAGCAATTCATAGTTTTGTTGGACGAACTTTATCGTCGAACATCCTTTTGAGATTTAAGTAATTGGTTGTTTGCGATAAATTTACAACTGGTCGGATTCCAATCCTTACCATATTTTGCGAATATTCGAATGTTTTCATCGAACTGAGGTACTGTACATGAAATTTCCATCCATGCGATCGATAACGGTATAAGCTAACATCTATGAAACCCCTATGGAAAGAATTAGCACAAGTTGTGCAGCATGTGGTAGTTAGATAAGTTAAATCGTGTATAAGTACGCTATCGATTCATGTAGTATTGATCGATCGACACGACCGTTTGTCTCTTTGGGAGTTTCGCGTTTGATTTGTGCTATATCTACTTCCTGATTTCATCATTAATCGATTTTTCGGTAGATCCCGACCATTCGAGAAAGTGCAAAAAGTTCGAGATAATCCGTCAATATTTTGAGCCAGTTCCTACCTCTGTCGAGGCAGGAAAAATGCTCCCGAAAATAACGAAACGACCAGCAACCAAATTGTCCTCAACCCTTTGGAATTTCGCTAAACGACAAGCAAACCGAAGAAATCCAAACGTATCGCTTCGATGAGCGGCAACTTCTTATTAAATTCTTTTCAGTTGCAAACCATCACAAGTAAATATCACAGTTTCATTCAATTTGCCGAACTTTTCAATATAACCTCTGTGAACCAAGAATATTTGTACTTTTAGGTGGTATTATTATACCTTTGTAACCATTAATGTTCCTTGATGGGCTATAGATCTAATACATTCCGACGACATTCCAAAGTACGCTGTAAGTCTGTACGACGTATAGTGACGTGTCGTACGTACAAATCGCAAAAAAAAATGGAAAACGACTTGCCGCGCTGTGAATTTGCTTGATATGATTTTTTGACAGCTATTACTCCAAGGAGCTATTAGCTGGTGCTTTCCGGCGACGCTTCAATGCACGCTATTGGTCCCCATGACGTGTTATGACGTTTCGGAGTTATAAATCGCCATAAAGTAGGAAGCAATTGCGTCCACGACGAAACTACTTAGTTTTTCGTTGTTTTTCTCTTTCTCTCACACACACAGACATAAACACCCATATATATATATATATATATATATATATCACGTACTTCGCGTTCTATGAGGATAAACCACAGGATAAAGGATAAACCACCTATGCACTTTTTTCGAATAATTGCGTGTAATGGGTCCTAATTTTTCGAGAGTAATCTCAAAATCTATCGGAATCTCATAGTGATGCAAATGTGACGATGGCGGCCACGACGATGCGATGGTGGACGACGATGACGACTTCGGTTTAAGTTGCCGTTGTCGACGATCAGCACGTGGTATGCTCTAATGGAGACACCCAGGCCTCGAATATGCTCAAACAATATGCACTCGGGTCCTTCGTTAAATATTTATGCTCACGCTTCTTGGCATATATATATATGTACACATATGTATATAAACATATGCGTATATATATTGAGCGCATGTGTATGTGTGTTGTATGCGTATAAATGAGTATATGTGTGTAATTGCATGTGTATGGACGTGTGTATGCTCTGTTGGGAGTCTTTTTCCAAAAACTCAATAGTGTTAAAGTAAATAGAATTCTGAGCATATAAGGCTATGAGCAAATATGAAGTTCTTCTTATTAATCCAGTAGGATTTTTTTAAAGCTTTTTTCCTTCTAATTAGTTGAAATGTCTCATAATTTAGAAAATTTGTAAGATATTCGCAAAGAAGTGTCCCTCAAGGACTGATCAACGCCGAGGGCTTTATCCCTTTATCCTTTATATATATGTGTGTATATTTGTATATACATTCATATATGCATAGATGTACACATTGTTTAGGCTGTACTATCACCTGCACTCAACTACACACCTTTTTCGCAATTCCTTTGCTTAGCATACCGTATCCTCTGCAAATTCTACAGTAAATCCGGGATCCCTATCGGTCATTTGTCACTGACCAAAATCTTGTTCCGAAGAGCGGCTATTTATTCTTAGGCTCAATAACTTATTAATGGCCTGAGACGAGAATTTTCATTAATAGAGGGATGAAAGTTAAAGCGTTTTCGTTTGTTGGTTTGTACAGTAACTTACGGGTACTTAGGAGTGTTTCCAACCCTCTGAGGAAGGTTAGTGCAATTTTTCTAGCCTCTGAGTGATGAGAGAAACGAGATCGAACCAACGACCACCGCACAACGATGTTGTCGTTTTATCTGCCTCAGCATATAGGCTTTCATAAAGACAAGAGAAAGGGGAAAAATTAAGTTTTTAGGATTTTTTCTTCTGTAGACTTTCTTAAAAAACATAAATTTCGTGAGGCAGCCGTGATGCCCATTTTATCATTATGTCATCGATAAGGAAGATAACAGTACAGTGACGAGTTTCTTGCATCCACCTCTCACTACGCACTTTATCACAATGTTTCTTACAATATTTTTTGGATTGCTAGTACTCAAAAAAACAGGTTACAGTATCTTCACGCTCTATTTTTGTCTCCTTTCGCGTTTTCTTCTTCGACTTTTCACGAACATCTAAAAATCTGTTCGTACTTTTCGTGCACTCTTTTCTCTTTTTCTCACTCTCTCTCTATGCTTGATCGATAACTATACTTTGCACGCGTTTTTCTTACAAGGGCAATGTTTCTTTCCTTGCAGTCTTAATCGTATCTTCTTTTAAAATATTACACCAAAGTTATCTTTTTTCAAACTCATTAGTAATTCCAGTGGACGTTCTCTGAATTTCGAACCAATTTGAAATTTTGCGGAACACAAAGTGTTTGGTTCACTTTGTTTAGCAAAAATAGTTGAGCGTTTCTTTAAGAGAGAGCCATCCCTAGTCACTTTTTTTCTAAAATTCACACTAGAGAGTTTCGCGACAGTTTTAGGTCTTTTTCTTCACAACATATTTCCGATCAGCATGTCATTTTGTCCTCTACAAGGCGGGAAATCTCCAAATTATTCTCTTTTCCTCGTCCACACGAATAAGTAAGAACTTTTTAAAGCAATTACTAAAGTTGATCGAAACCTTTACGTTATTTTTGGTACAATTTTGCCATATTATCGAGTTTTTTCTGTTGTTATCAACTAACGGACCATAGGAATGTTCGGAATTATCAGTTTTTATCACTCGGATCAATCAATCACTCCATGTAAACAGTCGGAATCGATTTTGCAACGATCGGAGGGCGACAGACCAACAGGCCGTCGTCGGCAATGAGTCTGCTGGAGTGGTCGGGGTTCTACGGATGTTGTGAAGTATAGTAAAGTTCATTGTTCAGTGATGAAATGAAACAGAGAAAAACGGAACACGTGTGTAAAAAAGGCTTCAAAGAGCGCCCGAAATTCCTGGAAGTATACTGTTTTTCCAACGAGTGAAACTTCTAATTCCGATTGGAAATGGTCAAATATCATCGACCTTTGATTAGCAGTGTTTGACTTATCGGTTTTGAGGAATTTTCGTTCAGTTTATGGGTTTCCATATGATTTTTGGAAGTCATGATGTGAACTCCTTCCAACGGTTTCCCACCTCATCGTGGCTGGGAAGTGTTCCCGGGTGTCTCGAGCTACGATGTACAGCGGAGACATTCATCCTCCCAGCAACGTTTCTCAAGCTGGGAAGGAGACCGGCATATCCATCAGGAGCCCAGATAAGAGTAAACCAATGCCGGGATCTACCACCATCCTGGTACCAAACTAATGCCAGTTTGGCCAACCTCCCCCTGATCCACAAGAGCTGCGGCTGCCTGGGGTAGTGATGACCTGGGGCGGTCTGGCTAGACTGTCCTCCTGACTCCAGGGAGCCACAATGGCTAAACCAGCAGATCTCCGAAGAATGGGAATTTTGTTGGAGCCCGCACAACCAGTGAAGACGGGCCATCCAAGCATCCAAGTAGGTAAGTATGAAGTGAACTTGCAAATTTGATCGGTCCCTATCTTTACTATTTGTGCAAACAATTTTTTTAATCTTTTCTTTAATGCACTTTTTTTACAATCTCGATTTTGAATGTGGGAAAACAGCGCTCCATCAATGGTGAGAGTTTTTTCTTCTCCTGAGAGAGCCATAAATACTGGGTGCAGACAGATGAAGAAGAACGATGAAATGTTTGAATGAAATATTTTTCTATATAAAAAATTGAGAAGAATATGACTCACCATTGTTCACAAAGACAAAAAGTACCATCAAAATTTTATAGACTTGTCAGGAATCTGGTGAACAGACTGTTATTCCGTTAACCAAATTCACAGGCACTGTGTTTCCCCATCGCCCACGCTTCGCGAGCCGCGTCGCGTTCGACAACTATAGACGCAACCGCTGTGACACGTTGCAAAGCTTCTAGTGAATTTCTTGGGTTACAGTCGTTTTTCGAGTTTTTATCGTAGGTCTGACTGATAGTTAATGATAATATGCAGCAAAACACCACTCGAAAATATGTTGGTCACAACTCTGATACCGTATCCATAGATTATAACGGTAAGAGCCATAGCTATTGGACTTATCGTCCCACCAATCGATTTACGTATTGTGTCGTTAACGACTCCGTAGGTAGTTTTGTTATTGTACGACGACAAACATACGTTCGTTTTACGAGTGATTTTGTGAGGCACACGAGCCAGGCGACAAAAGGTGCTGGCGAAATGGCCATAAAGTTCGTGTTGGGATTACGGCGGGCGCACTGGCTGGCCGGGTGGGTGAGTTGCTGGTCGGTCGGTCGGTCGGTCGGTCGGTCGAAGAGAGTTTGATGAGGGACGGGGACGAGGCGGTGACGTCGAATGTATGTAACCAAATTTCGTCATTTCACCGGCAGCATGCATCATTATGCAAAGGGTACTGAAGTGTGACGAACCACTGACGACGAGCGCGTAAAATCCTAGCAATCGGCCGAAAAAGTCGTTCGCCATCCGCCGCCGACCTACGACGACGACCTGAACAAGTGGTGTATGTAAGTAGCATGTAGAGGAGAATGTGGTTTCCCTCGATGCACACATGGTCCTTGGTTCGATCCTGCTTGTCAGTCCAGCTGAAAACATCCCATCTCGGTGGAATTGACAAAATTGCTACCAGAGTTGTCTGCGAGCGAAGAAATTGTCGACTTGGTACATCGATTAGTCACCGCAAATAATCGTATGGGCCAGTTATGCATTCAATAACTTGTGTGATGTTATGAATGGAGTCGAATGCATAGCGCATCCATAAAGAATTCGCTACTGGATGATTTATGTGTGTATGTGTGTGCGTATGTATATACGTGTATGTGTATGAATATGTGTGTGCTGTGTGTTTGTGTATATATATGTATATATATATATATATATATATACATATGTGCAAGTGTACGTGTGCAAAATCGTACTAATATATTCCAGATGGTAGTTGATTTGCTAATAATTCGATGTTTTTCTTCAATAAGCAGACACGAGGTTGTTATTATAGGATTTATTGGTATACAATAGTTGACGTTTCGGCGGTTTCGCCTTCTTCAGAGCCGTTTATTTGTTGTAAGTATTTAAGTTAGTTGGTGGATAGCAGCCGCACAGAGCAATACATGGGCGATAACTCATCGCGGTTAAAACATCGAATTATCAATCAATGCCGAAGTTTAAAGAAAGTCGGTCATGGGGATTCGCTAACATTCCAAGACGATGGTGCTCTCGTAAAGTATTATCAGTGTAATTGATTATTTACTAGTCAATTGCTTCGCTGGAAAGTCATGAAATGTTAGGTGAAAAGTTTTGGTGCCAATCAATGGAAGCCTTTCCACATTGAGTTAAAGTGCCATAACAGCCAGAGAACAAGGAATACCATCATTAGTGGTTTGAATAGAGCTGACTTAAAAACAAATCAAGAAATTGCGGTAGAATTCTATTTGTAGTTGAAGGACCTGAGCGGTTTGAAAGAAAATTTCCAACTACTGGAATGATTTTCGTGCTTTGAATCTCAAAATTCCAACAAATGAATTATGCTGTGGTTGCGATCGGATTCATCTGGTGCTCGAAGGAAGTAAAACTTGATTTGAAAACCCAAAAATTTGACTTCAAAGCTTGAAGAGATGAAGTTTGTGGCCATTGTTTTCTTTATATTCTCTCTTTCTCCTTCACTTTTCTTGTCTGTCATTGTTTAACGTTTCCTTTTTGTTTATATTTTTACTTCTGCTTCGAAAATATTCAATGTTTTCCTTCTTTCCTCAATCATCGTTACATATTTTGTTATATCTTCCATTTCTGTGCAGTTTTGTACCGATTCAATTAAGGATGAAATGGTTCCAATTCGAGAAATTACTGTTCAAAAATGGTGACGTCATCGAAAAGTTCAAAAAGGGTCATTGAATTTTGAAAAACAGCGTCAAAGTGTTTTTCACTGGTGAACCATTATTGCTTTTCGGAACTCTGTAGTTCATAAAATAGAGATTATTTTAAGGGGTACTGTATGTCGTAGTAAATTCTCGGTGGATTCTTCTGTTTATTGATCGTTTTCAGTTTCGAGGATGTTCGAAAATTGCACACGATGATTTGTCGAGTAAAGGATCGCGATGATTTTCCGGTGTTGTTGGTTGGCAACAAGGCGGATTTGGAGAATGAACGACATGTACGTTATTTTTCTTTATCATATTTAATTTTTATTCCCACACACCCCATATTTTGTTCCTTTTTCATCTCTAAACTACCCCATTAGTCTACATCTATTTCTCTTCATTTCTTAGCTTGTTAACTTTCCTTCGTTCGCACGAGTATTTCTGAACGCGGAAATGGCATGAGAATTCTTTTCTGCGATATTTGGACGATTTACCACAAAACTTATGATTCATTTTTTATTTGAAATAACGACTTCATTGCAATCGATATTTTGAAAGCCATACGAGTTATTTTGCACTTTGTTTACTTTTTGTTTTCTGCCTACTGCAATTTTGCGGCGGGGTGTCATGCGAAATATAATCACTACGATGCTGTGATAATTGCAAAACCCCTGATCGCAGGTGTCTGCGGTGGGGTACGAACGCGCTATTACCCTTTTCGTGGGCTAATGCGTTCACCGCCACACCATGCGGGTCCTTCGTTTCGCCTATCTCTCAGCTAGTTCAATTAATCGATGCCATCAGCACTTTTTTCGAAAGAATCAAATTTCTTTCTACGGTTTTGAGCTGCACAAGTACCGTTTCATCGCTTAAAGTCATCCTATTTGTTTTAAACGACTTTTCTGTAGTAAAAACTGGCTTTTTGCAAACCATTTTGACTTCTTTTTATACTTTATTCATCCAAATCTCCTTTTAGTGGCATTTATTCGTTTACTTTTCCATGAATTCGAATTTTAGAGATTTTCCGGAACGATTGTTGCATTGATCTTCATTTTTTCCGGCCCAATCATCTTTTTTAGTGAATCCTATTCCTCGTTTTCTCCAAGTCATTCAGTCTTTTTTCATTTCTTACTTGCTCTTTTACCGTAATCGACGAACACACCAGCCATTTTTTATCTATCCGATCCATCTTATCCTCTTTCTCTATACACAAACATTTCTGAGTTTGAGAAGCACTCGTTGCTTGACACGGCTCTTCGTAAATCGCTGAGAACTTCCTTCTCAGTTTTGCAGAGCTGTTTTTTTCCTTCGTTTTGTTCACTATTTTTTAAAGAGATGATTTCATTCATGACGAAAAAAGATGGTAGAATTTGTTATCGGATGCGCTCATATCACCTTCTATGGTTATTTTTGGAAGGAAATGATTTTTTTACCGCAACATTTTTTAAATGTTTTCAAAATTATTTTCCCGCCACCTTACGCCTAAGTCTACGACTACTAGTTTTTTTTACAAAATTGTTACACATTTTTCTTACAGTCGAATACCTTTTCACTCATCTTTAATGATTTTTCGTTTTTTTCATTTTCTTGTTATATTTTTATTTATTTATTTATTTATTATTTTTTCATTCCATTTTTAAACCATTCGGTGGAATTCATTCCATTGCTTTGATACGCTCCGGGTTATTCCTAAGGCACTTTGTTTTTTTAAATTTGCTTTATTTTTTCTCCAAAAAGTTTTTTTAAAAATCCATCATTCCACCATAAATCTGATGAAATCGTGTTAATCTAAGTTATTCTTTGCTTACAACTCGAGGGTACTGTATCTACCGAGATACTGTGTGTGACGAAATAGCTTTTATTTATCCCATTTGTTTTTCTTCTGAGGGTTTAAAGTCCTAGTGGACTTTTAGCATCTTCAGTATATTTTCTGTTTAGTCTTTATTTTTTCCAGCCAGTTCGATAGCATCCATTAGTTGGGTTTTATGGCGCCATAGATTTTGTTTCGCAATCTTCTTATTCATTTTTTCTTGAGCTTTTGTAGTTTCCAATCATTTTTTTAAAGTTGGTTCAGTAGCTTATAATAGTAGGCTTCTATAACGACCCACATTTAGTCGTTCAAGTACATCGTAATGAGGGCTATTTGGGAAAGTTTTGCAGTCGTTTAATGTCGGTCGTTAACTCCTCTCATCATCGACAGGAGGTTATACGATGAGGGTCTCTAGTCCCAAACGATTTTCCTACTATGAGGGAAACTACGAATCTTTTTGGACTCACACCAATGTTTTCAGCTTTGCTTTCAAAAGACCAAAGAAAAAATGTAATAATATATGACGATAACACCAACTTATTATCACCGAAATCACTGAACACGTTGAAGAAGTGCTGGGCAAACTGATTTTTCTTCCTCATTTTTCTAAAAATCCTTGTCAATCTAGACAATATTAAAGTGACTAGATTTCGCTAATATATCACCTTGAAATCTTATCAGTTGTTGGTTGCACTGATAACATTTGTAAAGCCTTTAGTTGTCCTTATTCCGTTTCAGAACGGCATTACTGAAAGAGCTCTTCGTTCGTTCACTTAATGGCTATGGAAAATTTTCACTACTATTCCTATGGGGCAGATCATTTTTCATAGATTTTTTTCTACAAGAAGGTGTCTACGAATAACGAAACACTAGGTTTTGCCGTTTGGACTAACTGGCGATACTCGGAGATGGCTTGTTGTAATTTTTTTCTGAGACTACATGAGGCTTATTTATTGGAGTCGTCCTTGGAAGTCGTGGTCTCTATCCATACTTCCTGGTCATTTGATTGCACTTGGTTCTTGGCCGAATCGACGTCTGTACTCGCTTGAATACATACGAATGTTTGCCGCACTATGTCTACCTTATGGATGACAAAGAGAATGTGCAGCGTAAAGGTTAGAGGCGTTGGTTCGACCAACGACCAGGGCCAAGCAATTTCACCATCCCTCCGTGGTCGGCAAATTGACAACAGACTTGTTTGGGAGAATGAATACACCAATTTCGATCATCTATAGGCTAGTGCAAGTGATTGTATAAGCCAAATATACATTCAATAACTTTGCGATGCTACGAATGGAGCCGAATGCATAGTGCATTTTCAGAGGTTGGTTAATTCTGAACGCTCAAATCATTTATCCTTTCGTTTTATTGAAGGTAAAAAGAGAATGAGAACCTCTTCTGAAGCCACCGTCGTCCTTTCGTCTCTTCGGCACTCCTCTCTGTCCGCCATCTGGCGCCGTTCATTGCCGACGTCGTGCTTTTCGTATCTGGTTAAGAAGTTGACAGCGAAGGAGATGACACGGACGAAGAAAAGGCCACCTGACTTTTTTTTTGCTTTGCAGTCCACTTTCTTTTTCTCATTTGAAATATTCTGATGATAGGGAACGCGGAAATGCCTCAATGAATTCATGAAATATAAAAAATGGCTACTTAATAGCGTACAAGGTTGCAATCGAGATAATCCGTCCGTTCAATAAGCCGATATGCCACTTTGGATCGGGATAATCCGATAGCGAGTCATATTACTACAAAATCAAATTTTATCAGGTTATAAAATCTGTTATAAAATTTGGCACTAGATATGACTAGCTCGAAAGTGCAATGAAATTTCTTTCCATGGATCGCCTAAAATCGAGGTCCCGATGCTTACGGTGGATTAAAACAATTCTTATAATGCTGAGATATTTGCAAAACTCCGGACCGCAGGTGTCTGCGATGGGGAACGATTGCTCTATTGGCGGGTACTTCGTCTCGCCTGTTTCCCAGCTAGTTCTATCGATCTCTGTTATCAGTAATCACCAGTCAACGGACCTCACGTTAACTGGGTTTGTTGCCGATTCGGGCTCCCAGATCAATTCTGTAGGGGGTGATTGCTGAGGTCAAAAGATCGATAGAACTAACTGGGAGACAGACGAAACGGAGGACCCTCATGGTGTGGTGGTGAGCGCGTCACTCCCCGGAAAGGACAATAGCGCGTTCGTTTCCCACCGCAGACACCTGCGGTCCGGAGTTTTGAAAATATCTCAGCATTATAACAGTTATATTTCGCAACATATCCTACCGTTAAAAAGAATAGGCTGTAAATAAAAAAGGTTAAGATTGTGATTAAAACAATTCCATTGATTTTCATGTCCCAAATCTGTTTATCGCTGAATTTAAGTTTTCTTTTTACTTACGATCTTACTCGTAATATAAGTGCTTTTTGAAATCTTCACATTACTTTTTACAAAACCAGAAAGGAACTGGGTTTTTAACCCTAGAGATTAAGATTTAAGATTCTAGCCGATAGGTTTTATTCTTTTATGGAATTAGCTTAACAGTTTTATTTCTGAGAGAAATTTCCGTAGAGTTCAGGAATTAGGAAAGCTAAAATGAAATATTCTGTTTAGTCTGAAATACTCATTTTGGATACGCTGCCGTTCAATTTGCCGTCTAACAATTTCCGGCAATTCGACGGTTTTTCCTTCATGTCCTGAGATTTGTCCACATGTGTATGGATGTGCGATTTGTGTTTATATGGTGTATGTGTCTTGGGTGTACATCATTTATATTCAAGAATGATAACAGTAATTCTAAGCACTTCGTTCGGCGTTGATCAACAAGCGCTCTGCATTTGACTCGGTTTGTCTGAATGCATATCTGACCTGTACAACGACTCTTTGTGGCCTAGAGATGTACTAGTCAGTGTCTTTATATCCTTTCCGACAGGTCGACATTGCACCAAATTGTCAATCCGGGATGGGTAGAGGACTGGGTTATCACGTAGCATGGAATCAAACCGTTGACACCTTTGCATTACGAAGCGCTTCCAACCACTGCGCTACACATCATTCGACTACGGCGTAAATGAATTTATCTGGACGGCGAAAGATTTCCTCATAAATCGAATTATTTCGAAATGACATACGATTGAGAGCATTTCCAAAAGCAGTTTTCGAAAGTGTTTAATTCTCTGACTCAGTTCAATTTGTTGTTGGCTTTCCGTTTTTACTGATTTTTGATTGATGATTTCCAAGGTTTTCATTTCGTTACCATAAGGAATTTCATAAGAGTTTCACCCTCTGTCTATGGAAACGAGTCCTTTCTAGGTGTCGCACAATGATGTAATACCTAGAAAAATGGTTTCTCTCCACTAACGATCCCCCAACAGGTGAAAAAGTCTAAGAGCTCTGGACGCAATCCCAACCGTAGACCTCAGTTTTTCAAAAATCGTTATTGTAATAGAGGAGAAGCTTATTTCGAAATGGAAAATCTCTTTGCGAT